CAGTCAATCCCTCGCCTGTCTCTGCAGTCCCCTCGCTCTGTCTCTGCAGTCCCCTCGCTCTATCTCTGCAGTCCCCTCGCTCTGTCCTCTGCAGGCCCCTCGCTCTGTATCTGGCATGTCATTCTTCCTTCTTGCCTTGGCCCTTGATGCCGCTGGCCCCCCCGTGCCCTCTCTCTGTGTTCACAGCGCTCTCCTCTCCATGTGCGCCTCTCCCGCCAGCCAGCAACCTCAACTTCAACTACCTCTACGACAGCGTGCCCTCCACTCTGCTCAACATGCCGTCCCTCACCGAAATGTCAGTTCCTCACAAAGCCACTGCTCACACTAAGTGGCTTTAGGATGGCTGTCAGGTGCTGGATGGGGGTGGTGGGTTGCCGTGGGTGAGAGCACAGGCTTCTTTGCTGAGCCTGCCTTGCTGTTGATGCACTGGAAAGCACAGGGATGCCACCACTGATACACGTCACCCTGCCACATCCCGCCTCTCTCACTCCTCTCTCTCGGCGCCTGTGCGGCGTTTGTTGCTGTGGATGTTGCTGTGGATGTTGCTGTGGATGTTGCACCTGTCGCCACCCGACTCGCCCTCACTTCATCCATCCCAAAGGCCATAGGCCTTCCATCCACTCACGTGCCGTCCATCCCCTTTCATTCCCCCACACAGCCGGCTGAGTGCCAACTACCTGACGGGCACGCTGCCAGCTGTGCCCACCAAGCTCAAGTACCTGGCCGTCAACCACAACTTCTTCGCGGCCCCTTCCCCTCGCAAGCCTTCCAGTTCTGTGACATCCGCAGCAACTGCTTCTATGGGCTTGGCACGTGCACCAACCCCAACGGCGTGGGCCAGCGCTCCTCTGACTGCGCCATCTGCGCCACCACCAACGCCACCCCGCCCCTCTGCGGCGGCGCTCCCTGCGTTCTCAACGCCACAGCCGCCCTGGCGGCTGGCACTGTCAACAGCCTCGGCGCCGCCCCTCAGCCGTTCTACTGCGGCCCTGCCCCCATCGACCCCACTGCCGGTGAGCGCATGCCCACTGCCTGCTGCACGCATGCACACATGTGCACACGCATGCACACACATGCACACACATGCACACACATGCACACGCATGCACACACATGCACACACACGCACACACATGCACACACATGCACACACATGCACACGCATGCACACACATGCACACACATGCACACGCATGCACACACATGCACACGCATGCACACACATGCACACACATGCGCACACATGCGCACACATGCGCACCCATGCGCACACATGCGCACACATGCACACACATGCGCACACATGCACACACATGCGCACACATGCGCACACATGCACACACATGCACACACATGCGCACACATGCACATACATGCACACACATGCACGCACATGCGCGCACATGCACGCACATGCACACACATGCACACACATGCACGTACATGCACCCACATGCACACACATGCACACACATGCGCGCACGTGCACACACATGCGCGCACATGCACACATGTGCATTCACAGTGCACCATGCCTCTTGTTGCCTGCCTCTCCCCTCACTTCCCTCCGTAATTACCTTGCCTCCCCCTCCTCTTCTCCCCCACCCTCTCCCTCCTCGTGCATGTGCATGAGAGCAGCGCAAGCGCTGCTGGTGCTGAGGGCGGCGCTGGGAGTGACGGAGACGACCTGGCTGGTGGACTCGCCGTGCGACGTGGCGGGCAACCCGCCCATGCCCGGCAGCTGGGCGGGTGTCGGCTGCGACACCACCGGCCAAGTCCTCACCCTGTCAGTGCCGCTCGCCCTGCATGCCCTTGCACGTGCTGTGTAAGGGATACTCTGGGAGATCTGAAAGCGCAGGAGATTTCCCAACATGATGTGGTGCCGTTTCTTCGTTTCTCTCAGGGCTGCCATTGTTCTTCTGACCGGGCTGCTTTGTGTTTTCCTGTGGTGCTACATGGTTTCATGTTGGTATGGTGGCATGGTGTCATGGTGGCATGGGGGCATTGGGGCATGCTGACGTCACCCACCCAGAGAGCTGCCCAACATGGGTCTGCGGGGGAGTCTGCCTGCCGACGTGTCCAAGCTCACTGCGCTCACCCGCATGTGAGCTGCCACTGCACCCACACTCGCACCACCACCCACACTTGCACCACCTCCCACACTTGTACCCCCACCCACACTTGCACCACCAACTAAGCTAGGGACCCACGCGCCATCACTCTGCAAGTCCTCTCTTTTGCTCTTCACGCTGAACTCCCCGTGCTCAACCATGTGAGCGCATTGCCCCATGCAAACACGTCCATCCTTTCCTGACCCACCCTCATTTCTTGCTCTTCCTAACTGCTGTCCCCATCCCCCCGGCAATCGCAGCAACATGGCGTCCAACCTGTTGGAGGCACGCCTGGGCGAGTGGGCCACGGCGCTCTCCACCCTCACGGCACTCAAGCACCTGTCAGTGCCCCCCCGCTCCCGCCCTCCCTGGCCTCCCTGCCCTGCTCTGCCCCTCCCTTCTCTGCCCTCACTCCTTGCCTTCCCTGTCCTCACTCCTTGCCTTCCCTGCCCTGCCCTGCTCTGCCATGCCCTGCTTGCTCTACGCCTTGTCCCTACTTGCCTGCTTGCCTACGTGCCTGCCCTTCTTGTTTTTCCTGCCCTGCCCTGTAATGCCCTGTTTTCCCTGTGCTGGAATGTCCACCGTTTCCAACCCCCACCACCGTCCGCCAACCCTCACCACCGCTCCCTGCCCTTTCTTAGTAACCCATCACTCCACCCTGTTAGAGACTAAGGACGGAGTGTATGAAGATTAGGTGCCTAAATTTCTCAAAATCGTTGGCTTAGAATTCTGGACAGAAAAGTCGCGCTCACAAGAAACGCCGTCGACGAAAAGTTCACGGTCAAAACTTCACTAAATTCAGATATGTTGTAGCTCTACTCCGTGGCTACAATTCCCATGTTGAGTCGTACCCAAAAAGGTGAAGTATTTCTTGAGTTATCAATTTCGGCGCACTAGGGGGTATGCTGCCATAGAATCTTAACTCAAAAACAATAGTCTCACATAAGTTCACAATTACTACACAAGAGAGTTAGAGCAGGAATCAACCAGGTGGGAGGGGATGAGGAGGACGAGAGGGAAGGTCCCAAGAGAGTCCCCAACCAAGGAAACCCCATGCCACACAATTCCCTTCCCCATAGGCAGCCCAACTTTGACCTTTGTCACTATCCCAACCTCCACAATCCACCTCAACCCAACTTGGCCACACGTGCCAACCTGGTTTGGTTTCTCCCAACCATTTGGCAGCAACTACAGTAGAAAAGACGAATTTCCCAACCCCCAAAAGTCTGTACCCCATATTGAGTCAATCCCACAACTTCCCACAGTTGCCACAATCAAATATGAAAAGCATACAAACTCCAACGTTCGTAACTTTCTTGATCGTGGCTCCGATTGAAGCGATACTTGGTTCGTCGGAGAGCTCTTGAGCAGAGAAGTCACTTCAGATATCTGCTCAAGCCAAATAACATTTGCACACACTCAGAAAATTCAAACCACACAAAACACAATTTCTTGCACACGCTCACACCACGCATGCAACGCACGAACATATGATGGGAGGCAGACAGATGTGAATGCATATGATTGCATCACACAACACACCCCTCCCCATACAGCGCTCTCAACTACAACTGGTTCTCCGGCCCTCTGCCATCCTATCTGCTCACTCTCTCGTCCCTCACAACGCTGTAAGTGGCACCCACTCTCTCTCACACACATACACACACATACAGACGCACACACACACACACACACACCCACACATTACAACATCCTGTGTGTGTACGTCTGCCCTTTCCTTCACGTGGTCTCAACCCACACCCCACACCCCACACCCCATTGCCCTGCCACTCTACCGCCCCGCCTGCAGCAACCTACAATTCAACTACCTCACCGGCAGCATCACGGGCGTCCCAACAGCGGCCCTCAAGACGATCAACGTGGCGTCCAACATCCTGGCAGGCTCCTTCCCAGCATCCTCCACCACCATGTGTGACGCGCGCAACAACTGCCTGCTCGACGCCTCCAAGTGTGTCTCCTCGGGCTCCTCTGCGCAGCGCACTGCTGCCGCCTGCACCATCTGCGGTGGCAGCGCCTCCACGGTGCTGTGCGGTGGGGGGGTGTGCGCGCCCAACACCGCCACGCCGCTCGCCACCAAGACGCCCAACAGCGCCTCCGTTGCCGTGCTGCCGCTCGTCTGCACTGGCGTCCGCGTTGACCCCGCTGCCCGTGCGTCTCTCTGCCTCCTCCCTCTCCCTCCTCCTTCTGCCTCCACCCTCCGCCTGCTCTGCTGCTCGTCCCGCATGCCATACTCTCTGCCCTCTCTGCACTCCGCTCTCCTCACACTCTCTTTCCCCCTGCGTGCTCCTATCTGCCTACATCACTCTGTGCAACCCCCTACTTACCCCCCTCCCCGCAGTGCCGATCCTGGCGAACATGAAGACGGCGCTGGGAGTGCCGCACCAAGGGTGGGGCGTGCAGACGCTGTGCTGTGTGACCAATCAGCTGAGGGGGCCGGACGACATGTCGGGCGTCTACTGCAGTGAGCAGGGCACCGTGGTCGACTTCTTCCTCAAGCAGCGCCTCATGCGCGGCATCATGCACCCCGGCATCTCCAAGTTCACCGCCCTCACAGAACTGTCAGTGCCGCCCACCCGCTCCTTCCACACTCCCCTGCTCCCACCGCCTCTCCTCGCCACTTGTTCCCACCGCTAATCTCCCTGCAAGCCCACTGGGAGACTCGCCCGTTGCGCTCATGCCTGCCACTCACTCCCCACTGCCCCCCTCCCCACTACCCCCCCACAGGGACGTGTCAAGCAACTTCCTGTCTGGCCCCTTGGACCCGTTCATCTCGCCGCTCACCGGCCTCACCGCACTCAAGAATCTGTACGCCCCCGCCCCGCCCCCGCTCGCTTCTCCCGTCCCGCTCCTTCCCATATTCCTTGTTCTTTGCCGCTCTCCATTCTTACCTGTCTCCGTTCATCCCTAACCTACCGTGTGCGATAGTGCCCCTCTAACTCCCTCCCCCCCCCTCCCCCCCGTTTCCTCACCCTCGTCCACCCCTGTGCGCAGCATCATGAACTACAACTTCTTCTCGGGCTCCATCCCCTCCGCCATCTCAGCCATCAAGAGCCTCACCATGCTGTGAGCCCTCGCCTCCCTCCATGCAACCGCCCTTCCCAGCTTCCATCTCTCCTCCGCATGCCCTGCCTTGCTGCGCCATGCCACATGCCGTGCACACACCCTCCCGTCCCCATGTGTGCATGTGTGTGTGTGTGTGTATGTGCGTGCGTGCGTTGCGTGCGTGCGTGCGTGCGTGTGTGTGTGTGTGTGTGTGTGTGTGTGTGTGTGTGTGTGTGTGTGTGTGTGTGTGTGTGTGTGTGTGTGTGTGTGTGTGTGTGTGTGTGTGTGTGTGTGTGTGTGTGTGTGTGTGTGTGTGTGTGTGTGTGTGTGTGTGTGTGTGTGTGTGTGTGTGTGTGTGTGTGTGTGTGTGTGTGTGGTGTGTGTGTGTGTGTGTGTGTGTGTGTGTGTGTGTGTGTGTGTGTGTGTGTGTGTGTGTGTGTGTGTGTGTGTGTGTGTGTGTGTGTGTGTGTGTGTGTGTGTGTGTGTGTGTGTGTGTGTGTGTGTGTGTGTGTGTGTGTGTGTGTGTGTGTGTGTGTGTGTGTGTGTGTGTGTGTGTGTGTGTGTGTGTGTGTGTGTGTGTGTGTGTGTGTGTGTGTGTGTGTGTGTGTGTGTGTGTGTGTGTGTGTGTGTGTGTGTGTGTGTGTGTGTGTGTGTGTGTGTGTGTGTGTGTGTGTGTGTGTGTGTGTGTGTGTGTGTGTGTGTGTGTGTGTGTGTGTGTGTGTGTGTGTGTGTGTGTGTGTGTGTGTGTGTGTGTGTGTGTGTGTGTGTGTGTGTGTGTGTGTGTGTGTGTGTGTGTGTGTGTGTGTGTGTGTGTGTGTGTGTGTGTGTGTGTGTGTGTGTGTGTGTGTGTGTGTGTGTGTGTGTGTGTGTGTGTGTGTGTGTGTGTGTGTGTGTGTGTGTGTGTGTGTGTGTGTGTGTGTGTGTGTGTGTGTGTGTGTGTGTGTGTGTGTGTGTGTGTGTGTGTGTGTGTGTGTGTGTGTGTGTGTGTGTGTGTGTGTGTGTGTGTGTGTGTGTGTGTGTGTGTGTGTGTGTGGTGTGTGTGTGTGTGTGTGTGTGTGTGTGTGTGTGTGTGTGTGTGTGTGTGTGTGTGTGTGTGTGTGTGTGTGTGTGTGGTGTGTGTGTGTGTGTGTGTGTGTGTGTGTGTGTGTGTGTGTGTGTGTGTGTGTGTGTGTGTGTGTGTGTGTGTGTGTGTGTGTGTGTGTGTGTGTGTGTGTGTGTGTGTGTGTGTGTGTGTGTGTGTGTGTGTGTGTGTGTGTGTGTGTGTGTGTGTGTGTGTGTGTGTGTGTGTGTGTGTGTGTGTGTGTGTGTGTGTGTGTGTGTGTGTGTGTGTGTGTGTGTGTGTGTGTGTGTGTGTGTGTGTGTGTGTGTGTGTGTGTGTGTGTGTGTGTGTGTGTGTGTGTGTGTGTGTGTGTGTGTGTGTGTGTGTGTGTGTGTGTGTGTGTGTGTGTGTGTGTGTGTGTGTGTGTGTGTGTGTGTGTGTGTGTGTGTGTGTGTGTGTGTGTGTGTGTGTGTGTGTGTGTGTGTGTGTGTGTGTGATGCAAGCAGGAGCCTGGGGTGGAACTACCTGACGGGGTCGGTGCCGGTGCTGGGGGCAGCGGTGCAGGTGCTGGATCTGGAGAACAACTGGCTCATCGGCAAGTTCCCCGCCACCACCAATTGGCCCATCTGCACGGCGCGCGCCAACTGCTTCTCCGACCCCACGGCCTGCAAGAACAACAACAACCAGGGCGTCACGCAGCGCGCCTCATGTGCCATCTGCAACAGCGCGGACGGCACGGGCACGCTGTGCAGCAACAACATCATCTGCCAGCCCGACCCGGCGGGTGTCAAGGCCTCCACTGCCCTCCGCACCCCCACCACCCCCCTGCTCGCCTTCACCTGCCCCCCTACTCCGCCCGTCACCACGGACGCCACTGCAGGTATGACTGCGCCTGTGCCTCATGCTGCTGCTGGCCCATGCCTCTCACCATTGCTGCGCACGTGCAAAGCTAACCCATACCTCTCACCATGCCCATCTGCTCCACCACCTCCCGCCACCAGCATCGGCGCTGATGAACATCAAGACGACGCTGGGAGTGACGTACACCAACTGGGCGGCCTCCTCCTCCTCCTGCAGTGTTGCTGGCAGCTTGAGCGCGGGTGGCTTCACGGGCGTTGAGTGTGACTCACTGGGCAACCCCGTCAAGATGTGAGGGTCATGCACCACAGGAGGGGTGGGGGGCGCATCATAAAGGGGTGGGAGGTTCCAAGGCTCGCTTCTTCACAACTGCCTTTCTCTTGAATCACTGGAAGGGACGCTTGGAGAGGAGGACAGGGAGATAAGCAGGGGATTTTTCCGTCAAAGCACTCTTGTGTGTTTTCTCTGCAATTCTCATTTGGCCCCACCCAACATTGGCTTCACCATCCTGCCTTAACTCTCCCCATTTGCTCCCACCTTCCTGCCCCACCACCCCGCCTTCTCACAGCACCCTGGACAGTCAGAAGCTATCTGGCATTCTGCATGCTGACATCACCAAGCTGACAGCACTCACATCTATGTAAGCATTCACTTTTAATTAAGCATTCGCATATATGAAAGCACAACTGTTGTCCAAGTACTCACATTCATGTAAAACAACTTCTGCCTTAAAGCTCGCATCATGCATACAAAAGTTATGCGTGAGAACTCGAATTCACGCAAGCACAATCGGTGCACAGCAAAATCGTTGCACAGCACAATCGTTGCACAGCACAATCGTTGCACAGCACAATCGTTGCACAGCACAATCGTTGCACAGCACAATCGGTGCACAGCACTTGCATGCTCGCTTGTTGTACGCACAGTTGTTCGTCAATTTCCAACCCTGCTCTCATATTCTTCCTCTTCCTCCACTTCCCATTTTCCCTCTTCTCCCCTCCCCCCTTCCCTGCGTGTGTCACTGGCATGGGACGGCAGCTCGCTCAAGTCGAACCTCTTCAGGGCGCGTCTGGAGGAGTTTGGCAGCCGGATTCCATCGCTGCCCAACCTCGCAGTGCTGTGAGTCGCCTCCCAACCTCACAGCCCACAGCAGTGCAATGGCTTCTCTGCATCCACTCGGCCCACGTGGGCCGCTGCTCATCTCACAGCAGCACCACCTGTCAGCTTACCTCAACGCCACATCTTGCCCTGACAACTTACCCACTATCTGTGCCCTTCCTCTGGTTTCTTGTTGTATGTGAATGGGTGTGTGATATGTTCATTGTGCACATCTTTGTGTGTGCGTGTGTGTGCGTGCCTGCACGAGCATGCGCGTGTGCTTTTGTGTGCATGTGTGTGTGAGTGTGTGTGCACATGTGTGAACCTGCGTTGTCTGTGCGTGAGTCTCCTGCAGCCTGCTCGACTTCAACTGGTTCTTTGGCAGTCTGCCTCCGGCAATCATTGGCATGCCCAAGCTCACACGCCTGTCAGTCTCTCTCTAAGCCCCCCACTATATTTAGCTGCCCTGCTCGTTTCCTGACCTGTTTTCATCCAAGAAAATTACCCTCATTCGTAAGTTCAGAGCCATCAGCACAGCATATCCGTGCCTCCAACCATCCTTACTCCTCCAACCTTCCTCCTCCCCCTCTTCCCTTTCACCCCCCTCTTCCCCCCCACCCACCCCTCATCCTGCTCGCACCAGTGGCCTGTCCTACAACTACCTCACATACCGTGTGCCGCCGGTGTCAGCAGCGCTCAAGGACATCGACGTGGGCTTTAACTTCCTCTCGGGCTCCTTCCCTGCCAACACCGCCACGTCATGCGGCGCCAACAACAACTGCTTCCAGGCCGTCACTGGGTGCACCACCAAGGGCACGGTGCAGCGCAGCACAAGGTGCAGCTTCTGCGAGTCGAGCACGGGGCAGGGCATGCTGTGCTACGGCTATGGCGTCTACACCGTCGACGCCTCCGCACCCTTCAACGCCGGCACTCCCAATTCTGCCGGCGCTGCCACGCTGCCCCTGGCTTGCGTCAGTAAGTGCCGGGAGGGGAGGGCGAGGGAAAAGGAGGGGGGGGGGGGGGGGGGAAATAGTGCTTGGGGTGAGTGAGGTTGGTGCTGCCTCTGGTTCACAGAGAGTGGCGCTGCCATCTCAGCACTGCCTTCTGTCTCTTGCTCACACTCTTTCTCCTCTCTCTCTCTCTCTCTCTCTCTCTCTCTCTCTCTCTCTCTCTCTCTCTCTCTCTCTCTCTCTCTCTCTCTCTCTCTCTCTCTCTCTCTCCCCCTGCCCCTCCCACCTGCTACTCTGTGTGTTCTTGTGCGTGCAGACATGGTGTGCGGCTCCGCGTCACCCGTCCTCTGCCCTTCGGACTGGCGCTGCACCGGGCTGCAGTGTGTCAAGAGTTTCACCAATTGCATCGGCTACCTCTGCGTGCCCTAGCTGCTATCCAATCCGCTCGCCTGCTCGACACCGGTCTGGTGTGCTCCATTGCTTTCTGCTGTGCTGCAGGGCTGTCTGCTGTGCTGCAGTGCGTTTTGGTTTGCTGAATTGCTATTTGGATTGCATCAGTTCTAGCTGGTTTGCTGCATTGCTATTTAATTTGCATCAGTCCTACTTGTTTTGCTGTAGTGCACTTGGTTGGTCTTCATTGATTAGACCTGTGCAGCAGGGCTCTTGCTAGGATTTAAGCCCGTCTGAAAAGTATATACCAAAAAAAGGTTTCGTCTGACGTTCAGACGGGGAATTTTTTCTGGTCTGGTTTTTAAGACGAAGGAAAAAGCCATGTCTGAAATTTCAGATGAAATAATAGTGGTCTGTTTTTGTTTTTTCAAATTTGAATTGTGCACTGTTTTACTTGTATCAGACAGAGCGACACAACCTAAACAGGTTTGGGCTGCGACGCGCGAGAGCGGGAATGGGGCAGTGGGGCAGGTGTTGGCCTGCGAGAGACAGGGGAGTGGGGGGCTTGGGCTACGTACGAGACGGACAGGGGGGGAAGGGGCACGAGTGCTGATTTAGGAGATTGTGGCAGGGCGGGAGGGAATTCGAGGTAGTGGGGAGGAGCGAGGGAATTCGGGTCTTGGGAGGCTGAAGCACGTGGGGGGTAGGGGGAAGAGGGAAGCACTAGGTACTTTGGTGTCAGACGAAAACGTACGCATTATCTGATTTTTCAGATGAAGTATAACGCCGAGTATGATTTTCCAGACGAAATAAAATGTATGGTCTTATGGATCAGACGAACTAAAATTGCTTGTCTTCAAAATCAGATGAAATAGAAAAAGTAGGTCTGATTTTCAGACCATCAGACCAATTTGGTCTGATAACAAGGACCCTGCTGTGCAGTTGTTCCGTTGTCCTTTGGTGTCTGGAATGCCATCCAATCATGTGAGACTGGGTGAACCTAGGCTACGACTGGGTGAACTTCATTGTAGGCAGCTTTTCCTGGGTGACTGAAGCACATTAGCCTTGTAGTTTCTTTTTTGGGTTGCGTAGCAACCCTTTATATTTGGTTTCACATTTTGGGGATATCATTCGAAGAGTGTCATTTACACACTTTTGGAGCACTCGTTTGAATGTTTTGAAATTGTGTTCAAACGGATGCCTCAAACAGTGGATAAAAAACACTCTTGAATGAGATCCCCAAAACACGAAAAACGTACGTATCATGTTGAAACCATGAACTTGCTTGACCGTCACAACCTCGTCGATAAATACGGCGGATCGTACGGCCGAGCATAATATTCTGGCATCAGCATGAACGAATGCAACTGTACAAATGAACAAGGTATGAGGTGGAGTCAATGCTTCAAAATGAATGTTAAAATGCATCATGCAGCAACAGAGGTTGATGGGGTCGTTGAAACAGCGAAAACACGCTGCCCCAAAGACGATTAACAACCTCTAATTGCATACATAACACATACTAACTCCACACTTTGAAACACACATCCCAAAAACACGAATGCAAACGCACGTAAAACCCCACAGTGAAACAAACACAATGGCAAGACATGAACACACACCAACACAAACACACCCGCAACGCGCACACATACATACACAAATAGGATTGAGAGCAGACAAGCATAACAAAGAGTTGCAAAAAGTTGATTATGTATCAATCACTTCTACCTTGTCCCCCCCTTACTCCCCCTTCCTGCCTTCCTTCCTCTCCCTCAACCATCAAAATCTCCTCCCACCCTTTTCCACATTGTCTTCTCTCTCGATCCCTCCCTGCTCCCCACAACGCGTCTTGCACACCTTGCAAAACAAACAGGTCAAGAAGAAAAAGAATTGTAGTCGGAAAACCGAGTGAACTATTCAATGACGAACACACACTTGATTGTGAAATGGAACTTGAAAGAAATATGATAAGTACGAAAGAAAACCGAATTCGACGACTCACAAGCGTGGTTTGAAGCATAGATCCCCTGGGGTCACGCACACCACGCTGGTGTGCAGCAAGGCTCCAGCGAGCAAGGTGCCTTGGTGCAACGAGCTGGGGATCGCCATGCTACAAGGTGCCAGAGAGTTGCAGCAAGGCACTGGCAGAGGAGCAAGCGGGCTGCCGTAACAAGTCGTGAGCTCACTGCAGCAAGGCGTGAGCTCACTGCAGCAAGGCGTGAGCTCACTGCAGCAAGGCGTGAGCTCACTGCAGCAAGGCGTAAGCTCACTGCAGCAAGGCGTAAGCTCACTGCAGCAACGCGTGAGCTCACTGCAGCAACGCGTGAGCTCACTGCAGCAAGGCGTGAGCTCACTGCAGCAAGGAGTGAGCTCACTGCAGCAAGGCGTGAGCTCACTGCAGCAAGGCGTGAGCTCACTGCAGCAACGCGTGAGCTAGCTCACTGCAGCAACGCGTGAGCTCACTGCAGCAAGGCGTGAGCTCACTGCAGCAACGCGTAAGCTCACTGCAGCAACGCGTGAGCTCACTTCAGCAAGGCGTGAGCTCACTGCAGCAACGCGTGAGCTCACTGCAGCAAGGCGTGAGCTCACTGCAGCAACGCGTGAGCTCACTGCAGCAAGGCGTGAGCTCACTGCAGCAACGCGTGAGCTCACTGCAGCAACGCGTGAGCTCACTGCAGCAACGCGTGAGCTCACTGCAGCAACGCGTGAGCTCACTGCAGCAAGGCGTGAGCTCACTGCAGCAACGCGTGAGCGTGTGCACAAATTTACCAGCGCGCTGCCGCAACAAGGCTGCCGCAGGAATTTGCCAGCGCCGCAAACAAGGCAGCAGCACACAAGCCGCCAGCATGCTACAAGGTGCCAGCGCGCTGCGAGGGCACCTGCAAGGCGCCAAACGTAAGGCGCCAGCGCGTAAGGCGCCAGCGCGTAAGGCGCCAGCGCGTTAGGCGCCAGGGCGCTAGGCGCCGGCGCGCTAGGTGCCGGCGCGTTTGGCGCCAGCGCGTTAGGCGCCAACGCGCTAGGCGCCGGCGCACTATGCGCTAGCGCGCTAGGCGCCAGCGCGTTTGGCGCCAGCGCAGCAAGCGCCAGCGCGCTAGGCGCTAGCGCGTTAGGCGCCAGCGCTCTAGGGGCCTGCGCATTAGGCGCCAGCGCGCTAGGCGCCAGCGCGTTTGGCGCCAGCGCGTTAGGCGCCAGAGCTCTAGGCGCCTGCGCATTAGGCGCCAGCGCGCTAGGAACCAGCGCGCTATGCGCCAACGCGCTAGGCGGCAGCGCGCTAGGCGCGCTCTAGGCGCCTGCGCGTTAGGCGCCAGCGCGCTAGGCGCCAGCGCGTTAGGCGCCAGCGCGCTAGTCGCCAGCGCGTTTGGCGCCAGCCCGTTAGGCGCCAGCGCGCTATGCGCCTGCGTGCTTGCTCCCGTGCGCAAACACTCCCTAACACTCCCTCACACTCCCTCTCTCCCCTTCTTAAAATGGAGGCACAATACTAAGAGGAGACCAATCGGCATTGAGAACTTACGAGGAAAGTGGAAAAAATAGGACATTTCGGAGAGAGTAGCAAACGCACCTGAGACAACCGTGCCTAAGAAAACAACGCGTGGTCGTGCAGCAACCCACCCACCAAAGGCGACGGCGGGAAGGGAGGGAGAGGCGACGACGAGGAGGAAGGGAGAGCGACGGCGGGGAGTTAGGGAGAGGCGACAGTGGGGGGTGAGGTGAGGCGACGGCCGGGAGTGAGGGAGAGGTGACGGCAAGGTGGTTCTAATAAAACGAGTGGGAAGGTATTTGGGGTGGGAAGAACGAGGGGAGATCAAGAATTCAAGAAACGGGACTCCCAAGGGAGCAGAATTGACAGTGGGGAAAGGTTTGGTTGGGTTTGTGTAGCGCTGGCAAGAAAATATTCTGCCAACGAGGCACGAACCAGTTTCCACAATCGAAATACACCAGTTCCTTATACTCGCCAAAATCAAGAAATTTGTAGATGATTATTTTTAGTTGTTTGTGACTGTTACGAGTGCAATTGAGTGATCGAGCGAGAATTGCATTATCGAAACAAGAGTCCAATGAGCGAAGGCATGAGCGAAGAATATATAGCGAAACTACAGTAGTAACGGTAATGGACTGTGGTTGTCGCGCTACAGGCCTGGGACTGCGGTTTGGGGAAATGTCGAAGCGGAGGTCCGGAGCGCGGGTTACCCGCCGAGCCGTGAGGTCGGGGTGCGACGTGCGAAGGTGGCGGGAGGATTGTCGATGCGAGGGTTGCGAGTGGTAACGGTGCTGACTGTGGTGCTACAGTGGTGTACGCGCTGAACGGGGACGCGAAGTAAGGAAAAGCAATTTTCCTTACACTATCCCCCCCCCTAAGGAGGTCCTCCTTATGAAAGGGCGTGTACATCCCTGAAGTTTCGGCTGCGCAGATACTCTGTGAGTACGGGGTGCTTTTCGACTCTGTCCAGGGGAACCCAGTTGTCTTCGGTAGGTGTACGGTCTTTCCAGCGGATCAGGAACTCGATCCTTCGGGCTCCTCGAGGGTCACGAACTCTGTGGCTCAGAATTTTCTCGGGTGTGATGATTGGTTCAGTCGGCGGTCGTGTCATGTTGGCTGGGCGATTACGTGGCAGTTGGCTTGTGGACGGGTCGTAAGGGCGAAGCAGGCTGACGTGGAATGAGGGGCTGACGTACCAGTCAGCGGGGAGGAGGAGGTGGGCGGTGACGGGCGTAAGGGCATATTCCTATCCTCCTATCAAGAAAACCTCCTATCAAGCTCTCACTGGAAAATTCCCTAAACCCAAAATCTCTCGCTACTATTACCAGGCAAAAGGTACAATCTTGATAGGAGGTTTCTTGATAGGAGGCCGTAGGAATACGCCCTAATCATATGGCTTATGCGAAGCCCGCGATATCGGGGGCGGAGTTTTGGGGTGATGGGCAGTCGGAGGTTCTGAGTGTCGAGTATAACTAGGTCGTCAGGTTGGTAAGTGACAGGTCGGCGGTGGCGGTCGGCGTTACGTTTAGCGTCGATATTTTTATTACGTCTGCTGCCC